TATAACATATTACATAGCCATAATTGTACATTTAGGGAGCTGGGTGGTTATAATTATGACATAAACAATAAAAATTGTACCTATAATTAAATTTTGTAACTATGTGAAATTCATATACAATACAAAATTAATAAAAATTAATTACAAATCAATACAATACAATTGACAACGGAGTGATGTAATCGTATATATTTTACAAACCTTGGTGGCCCTTGTGCGATAAGATAACGATTACTCCGTATAGTCGAACACCGATCATTGCATATTGCGTGTATTTATAGGTATACAGTATTCATATTAAATTTCTAATATTCGATTATCATATTATACTAAAAATATCCATCCTTCTTTTCAATTTTATTTCAATTATTTTACGGTTGTACTTTTAAAATTTACCAAGAGCTCTGAGGGCCCCTGAGCTGTAGGGGGCCCCAGGGCACTGCCCTGCTTTGGCCGATGATAGCTACGCCACTGTCTGGTGCACGCGAATAATGCGCGATGCAAGACGTTCGTCTTGTATTTTTTTGTCATATAAAAATGTAAAATAATCCAAAACGTATACCTTTTCCATTAATTTAATGGAAATAGTACATTTTGGAAAATTTAATGGTAATAGTTCATTTTGGAAAACCTAATAAAATATTAAAATATACCTACTCCAAAATGTGCTTTTTCCAAAATAAAAATATTATTAATTTCTTATTTATTGTTTCAATATGAACAAATCGTTTATAAATAAAAAAGTAATTTTGAAGACAAGGAAGATTTTTTAAATTATTTAATAATATATTATTTCTATTAAAAACGACTCAAATGTGTTTAATAATCTAGGATTATATTTTTAATTTAATCTCAAACTTAATGATTGTGAATATTATAAATTATATTTTAGTACGTTTTGGATTAACTATTTTATTTCGCTATACCTACAATACGGGCAGTAGTACGTTTTGACATAACATAAAAAAAAAAGTACGTTTTGGAATAATTTACGAAAATAGTTCGTTTTGGTATAGTTAATGATTGGTGCCTATTATTTTAACATTGGCAATAGTATGTTTTGTCGTAAAACTGGAAAAAGTACGTTTTGATTATCTAAATATAATTTTTATGCACGGAAAAGGTTCGTTTTGGATTAAGCAGTCATTTTTAACAGCTGATTTAACCTGGAAATAGTAAGTTTTGGTCTATTCTGACAACACCAATCGATTTGTCGGCGTTTTTTTTTATAAGAATCGGTATCTAACTCGTTTTTGCCAATTTTGGCAATAGTACGTTTTGGATTTCCACCCCTCAATCAAGGTAAGATATTAAAATATAGACATAGTACACAGTACACATACTTATTCTAATTGGTATTTGTCGATAACAAACAGTTTCCTAAGAAAACAACAAGGGTCGCGATATCCGTATTACTGCTGTCTGCTACGGGGACAATATTATTATTTATTATGCTTGTTTATAGATAAAGTGATATTCGTAACAAGCCCGCACAAGCTCACCATGCGCCACCCGCAACTCGCGCAAAAGTACGAGCTGTCGCACCGTCCATCGACTAACTGAGAAGAGCTGTCGGCCCAGGGCTCGTAAGTTCATGCATCTGCGTGTTTTTTTTGCTACACAGGAAAACATGCTAACTGTGATACAAATCCGTTTCATAACAATAGTAATAATAATATGAAGTTTGATAGTGCATGTTTTTGCATGTTTTGGGTGTAAAGTCATATTTGGCATAGGTATAGTTGATTTTTTACAGTCATTAGTGCATATTATTTCATAAAAATATTTTTTAGACAAATATTTGAAAAGTTTCTTCCGATTTTTGATATCTTGTATCAATCGTCCAATATCATTTGGTAAATTATAACGGTTTTTTAAATTTTTTATTGATTAATTATTTAGCTAATTAATAAAAATATCGAAAATTGGGCTTCTTACGATTGTAAAAAAAGTTCTACTCTACAATTTTTATGATAGGTATTTTTACTGTAAGCTACTTCAATAACTTGAATATTACGTATTACTTGAATTACGAAACCATGGTTTTATGCCATATTTTGTCTACTAGTGCGCCCTCTTAAGTTGGAAAACATAAAAAATACACTTATAGAATATATATTACTAAATTATCTCAAAATGAAAAATATATTATATTATATAGTATTATAATATTTAATTCCAAATGTTTTCATTGTTGGTGCTGAATAAGTTTGTACACAAATTAGACAAAAATGACTACCTACCTAATTAAAATTTATAAAGATGTCAAAGCTATTTGAACTTCACAAGTATTAATTTTATTTTTTATAATATTAATTTTGACTGTTAAATATATAAAAATAAAAAGGAATAAAATACTTTTAAAATGTATGGATTTATTCTTATTATTTTAAAATTTGGTCATGTTTTTTTTACATAATGCATATTTTGAGTTCAAAATTTAAAGATGTGAAGGCATATAAATGCATATTTTCGAACTTTTAAGTGCATATTTTGACAATTTTTAGTGCATGAATGCATGCTTATTTATGCATTTTTTAGTGCATGAAGTTACGAGCCCTGGGCCTGTCGCAGTTCCAGCATCGGACCAAGGAGTTTCCTTCGCTGACGTGTGGTGATCCTCGCCGTGCCCAGCATCGTTACTGCATTGTAGTATTGGTTTATATACATATTCTATTATAGTCTATTGTTTTGCGGCATAATTGCCAATCACTGTTATTATCATACTAATATTAAGCGCCTAGCGCATTTGTATTCGCAATTGGAGTTTATTTATTATTATTTATACTTGGGTGACCTTTTCCCGTCTCAACACACCGCAAGTCGTTGCCGCAAACCGCGATAGAAAAGTAGGTGCTGCGCGGCGAACAAACAACCTAGTCAATAGGAATGAAACTTGTAATAAATAACAATATAACAATACGATAATAAATTACGTATTTTTTATACTCGCCGCAAGAACTACCTCCATCACAGTTATAAAACACCTTTTTTTTTTTTTTTATTTATTTGAAGAAATCTACAATCTATACATGCTTTTTGTACAACAAGTAGGTTTGATATAAGAAAGGTAAAAATATGATATGATTAGTTAGATTAGGGAAGATACCCAGTGGTAACACCCTATGAAAATACCTACAAATGTATTTTATACCTGTGACCTCCATAACGTCATTTTATTCCGCGAGATGATTATCAAACATGAGAAGAACTGCGTATACGTTTTTAAGCACGGTTTCTTATCATTTTAAATTAAATTCTGTTAACTATTGTTAATATTCGATAATCGTGCATTTTTGGCGATGGTACCTAGTTGTTGCCTGATATTTCTTTGTTGTTTTCATTCGATTCCGTGGATGATTTCGAAAACCGTCGAATTTAAACGGACTCACTCGACGTCGCAAGTACAACAGGATGCACAACACTCGCCAGCTCCTCAATCAAGTACGTTCTATTGTCCACGGTAACATTGGTCCAGTCCATGGACCTTTAAACAAATGTACAGCGCATTCCACTCTGAACAATGCGGCTGTCTATTCGTAAAACACAGTAGCCCGCTTAAAGCCCGCCAAGGAACTGGTATACATTTTACTAGTTTGTTCTCGCTCACCCTATATCGTAACCCCGACTTCTCACGCCAAGCGCTGTCCTTTAGTTTGCAGGTGGTCTATGGTCTAGTCTGTTCTGTTCGGGTGTTGATCGTAGGCGCAAACAACTTCGGTGTTCGGCTTGAATACTTGATAGAACTATAATGTACTTACCTGTACACCTGGCCTTTGGAGACATCAACCGTCAGCGTTGGTCAGTGGTCTGGACTCTTAATAATATAGGTATCCATAAACCTTGTCACAGACGAAAAGATAATCAATCGTTAGACGGATCATCAAAATATTTACAAAATTATATAAAATAGGTATCTAACCTATAAACATTTAAATTTGTATTTCTAAATGCAAACGTATAACGATATTAAAGATACATTGGAATTTATCGCCATATATTATAATAATATTATTAAGAGTTATTCAACCGCAGGCCGCACACCAACTGTGACAAAGTGTCTCCAGCTCCTGCTCTAACGTCTTGATGTATTCATTTTCATTTTTCTGTCGCAAATTTACTACAAAAAAACATATTTCAAAAGGAATATTATTTCATGAATTTATCTGTTGTATACTCCGTAGTAGTTGTATTTCTTCATCATAATTTTTATTTTCTGAATTTAAGCCAGAGATATGCAACAACCAGTGTACCAACGTCAGCTGATGCCTGTTTGAGCATAGTACACAGTTTGATGAGCCATCGACAGTTATGGGAAAGAGAAGGATTTGCCAAACGAGCCATTGATTCACTGGTTAAAAAGTTAAAGGTAACTTTTGAATGGATAATTAAAATTAAATTTCGCTATCACCTGAGCTGCCTAACGTAAGTTGTACATTTTAATAGATGAGATCTTATCCATGGCTATACTATTCTGATAATATTTAAATCAATGTATTCCTATAACTGTGCTTATAAATAATGAATGTTTTACTTATTACTTAAGGAAAAAGAGAAGAATTAGATAGTCTTATTCTAGCTACAAATGTTTCGAATCCAAGTAAATGTGTTACAATACAAAGAACATGAGACGGGTGGTTACAGGTGAGTGATTATATTTGAATTTTTTCATATCTGAGAGTTTGACAATTGAAAAATTAAGTTAGCTTGTACATTTTATTGAATACCTAGTTAAATGTTATTAACAAAACCAAACTGTTCTTAGTATTTTCAGATTCTAATTACATGGTAATGATAGGATAATATTTTCTATATTATCTCCAATTATTTAGATTTGAGATGAATTATTTTATGTTTTAGAATTTTATTATAGTAGAACATAATTATTTGTAGGAGATATTGGTTTGTTCCGACCCACACTACACCAACAACAATGTCCTAGTTATTAAAATTGGTGTTACTCTCAAGTACAGGTTAAGACTGAATCATGTGACAATTTAATGCCGAGTACACCATCACATACACCTCCCAGCAGTAAGTTGCTTAAATAATAGTATGTTCACTTGGGTTCTGAAATATCCTTATATAATATGATATAATATTATAAAATAATAATACATATTTATGAAAATTAATTTATATAAGATAGCTAATTATTTATTTAATATTATTTGTATTAAGGTACAATTTTGACCATATTTTAAAATTGTTAGTTTATCATTTACATTCTCTTGAGTTCACTATTTATTTATTGATGTAATTTTCAAGTATGTAACTGCTTATACTATTAACGTGTCATCACTTAATTCAGATTTTAAAAATCAATTCAATAATGAATCCAAAACCCTCGGCTATATTCTTAAAAATAATTCAACAATTATTAATGCTAACAATGACAAATTGTATACTACTCAAACATTGGTACAATTTTCCTTTATTTTATTTTATTTTTTTTTGAAAGTTTTTATCTGTTACAATTTATTTATTTATAATATTCAAATATATATATTTTAATAATTTGTTAAGGTAAATATAATAATTTGTCGGTGGAAAGGCTAACTGAGAAATATGCATATCTATATTAATATATAGAAAATATATTAGTGGTGTTTTACACTTTTGTGCCTAGTAAAGGGTGGATAAGTTAATAAATAATTGTTGCTTTTCTTATAAATAAGTACTAATTTATAACCTTTTTTGCTATAGGACCACCAAACATGCCATTACAAAATCCCAGTATGTTCCAAGGACAAATTGAAGACAATTTATGTAACTATATTATCCTTTAATAAAATTATTTGCAATAAACTGAATAATATTTTTATTTCATATACAGTACCTAGTCAAACAATGACACCTCATGATTTTCAAGGACCTACCGCCCCAATGTCTGGTACAACAACAGATAATCGACCAGTACAAAGCACACTTACTTATACACATTCAATGCAACCACCACATCCAGTATTTTGTGATTATATTTAATATCTACCCTTTTAGAGTTGTATTATATATTTAAATATCTCTTGAATGTAATAATATTGTTTTTCTAGGGGGAGTTACTGAAATGGGATCTAGTGGTTTATTATCATCTCAGCCGGCTCCTGAACATTGGTGTTTAACTGCTTACTATGAATCATCTACTTGCTCTCATGTCACGGTTGATGGTTATGTTGATCCTTCTGGAAGTAATCGTTTTTGTTTGGGTGCCCTTTGTAATGTTACTACATTAGTTATTAGTGTAACATGTTATACTACTAAAGGCATTGTTTAAAATCAGTTTTTCCTGTACACATTTATTTTGTTTATTTTTTTTAACACAATTACTGTTTGTAATCTAACAATTATTATTATGGGTACTTTCTGTTGATGTATTGAATGAATCCATAAAGACATACTTCAACTAGTTATTCTATATACTAACTAGATATTTTATGAACTAACAATAAGAGTTTAATTAATGTATTTAAAACTATTATTTTATTTACATTATTTTTAGTACAAATTACAAAAAGAATATCATATGTTAGTATTAAGTCAAACATTTTATTAATATAAATATTTATTTATTTCAAGTCAATTTATTAGAATTATTAAAACCTTAAACAAATTACAAATAAAAATAAAAAATCAATTGTTATCAATAGTTTTTTATAATATAATTATAAACTTATTCGTTTGTTTTCTCTGTCTTACAAGTGCGTAACATGTTAGCAAGTTATGTGTACATAATATAGCATAAATTAAAAATGTTCATAACTCACTTAAAAAAAAACCACATACAAACACAGATAATGTTCTTACCATCAAGTTTCTTAATAGTTTCTTAATTCTTACTAATTCTTAACTAACGGAGTTAAACTTGATCTGCTGAGCGTAAATTGCCATGTTCCACACTTGTAAGACGGAGACAACAAAAATCTGTGTAGCGTCCTCTTAAAGTGAACTGTAATTATTTTAAGATCAGATTTCAAACCGACCAACTTCTGTCGGTAACTACTCTGTTAAACCACATTCTACTGTTTAAATTGACACCTTATAGGTACTATTATATAATCCGATATTCCGATGTTGTTATCATTATTCACTGTTCAATTATTAGTTTTTATATTTTTACCCATCTTGTGTGTGTCGTCTGTACACTGTTGACCTGGATAGATGTTTCCGAGTCATTGTTTGTATATTAATAAATATTTTTCCATAATATTATATTCAATACCTTTTTTACCAAGTTACCTTTGCTGTGATTATATTTTTTTATCCTTATTTTATTTTAATATAATTATTGTTATTTATACTGAAATCATTCAATGTTGGGTCAGTTACTTTTAAAAAGTAGGTAATTAAGTTTTTTTACTCGTTACTTAAGAGATAAATGTAATTAAGTTACTTTACTCAATATTCAAATACAATTGTAATGAAATTACTTTAAATTTCAAATAGAGAAGTAACTCACTAATTTATCATTACAAAAAAAAAAAATTATTTAATTTCTTGGCAATTATCTTTCTGCAGGTAGCAGGCAATTATGTAACTACCAACTAGAAAAACATTACCCATACTAAAAAGGTAGAATTTGAAAAAAGATGTACAAAAAAAAAATGTTCAGTTAATACATATTTACATAACAATCGTAGATAATGCCTAATGACTATTCAAAAATAGTAGGTACCTACTAATTAATAAAATTGTACCTACTTATCAATAGTAATTAACTATTATATAGTTAAGTATAATATTATGTATTTATGGCCCAAACTCACAACATTAACCTTACGTATGTGAAAATACAATTCTACTTCATATATAACACATACATAAGGACTTATAAAATTATAAAAATAAACTGTTTCTTATATATGCCAAATGGCTGTAATGATTTATAACTATATAAATATTTCAATTTTATTTAATTATCAGTAAAGTAATGTAATTTTCTAATGTAAATATAGTAATAAGTAATAAGTAATTTCAAATTGAACATTTTTTTTACAACACTAAATTCTTTATAAAACCTGTATATTCGTAGTTAATAGTAGCGTGTAAGACTTAAGAAAACGCACACCAGCATATGTGATCTCCGTCTTACAAATGTACAACATAGCAAAAACTGTTTTGAGCGGGACAACTTTTCTCGCACCATATTTGTTGTAGAACTACCAACTTTTCACAACACGTAAAGAAGAACTTTATCTGTGCTACAGCGTGCTTTTTTTTAATAGCACTATTCAATCATTTTTTATAATCAAATGGAAACAACAAAAAACCAAATGTTTGGAAGAAAATCACTTCTAAGAATAAATTAGGAATAAAAAAAAAATAAAAAAGAAGAGACGTATGACAACACTTTTATAGTTTAATAATGTGTTCACTACGCTCTTTGAAATTACCTCTTCATGTCATTTTATATTAATTGCCTTATTAATTATATCTCCACACTATTAGAAACGTGTATTATGTTATATGTATTTTTCAATTGAAATATTTCAATGAAATTATAAAAAATATTTTTTTTTCTTTTATACGTGTTCGGTAATAGATGATTAGAAATAATAAATTGAATACCCAGTTAGAAATAAACTAAAACATATTTTATTTTTGTTGATTTATTATTTCATAATTGTATATTGCTGAAAAATATTTATGGCATTATTTTGAAAATAAAAACATTTTTTATATTAGTTTTAAAATATTGTTGTATTCGGACCGTCAGCGATCTAAAAGATAATGGTTTGAAATAAAGTTGAAGACGATTCCTACAGTGAATGAAATAATAGTGTATTTTCAGTAATTATAAAGTGTACAAAAGTGTGTACTGTGTACCTATATGGCTGAGTGATGTGAATGTGCTCTTTACTCTTTATTTAATACTTAGATCATATTTTGTGTATTGTAAAAGGACTCACAACTATTAAGAGTGGTTTATGTATACCTAATATTGTGAATATAATATAATATAATTAATAATTATGATAAAGTATAATATAATATGCATTTGCAGAGCCATGGCTCTCAAGTACCAACAATACATTATGATGTAAAGTTGGTTTATGAGTTTGTAACTTAAGAGTTAAAAGGCAATGTTTAAATTTGTTATAAGTAGGGCACGGATGATGTTGCATTTGCAACTTTTTTTCTACTTTTTCAATTAATTGCTAAGTAAGTTTTAAATACGTTTCATGTAAGTACGAATTCAAATCTAAAACTTTTAAGTGCAATTTTTTGCAATTTTTGGGATTTTTTAATTTTATTGCAATTTTGTCGAATTTACTCATTTATAAAACTATTTTAGCAATATTAAAACTTATATATGACTTAAAACCATTATTAAAATCAATGATATACTAACTGGACAAAGAAAACCGTTCGATGGTTTACCTGAAGACTTAACAGTAAGCGATTTATCTTATTTTAAATACGCTCCGCTTACATCAACCGACGTAGAATGAAGTTTTTCGAGATATAAGAACTTACTAGCTCCAAATCGAAGATGGTTTGATTTCGAAAATTTAAAACAAACACTTATAGTACAGTGCAATGATGTATAATATAATAAATTTATAATGGCATGATTATAATGTAATGTATATATATTTTTTTGAATTATTTAGAATTTTAGATTATAATTTATAACAGTAAACTTAAAACATTTATAACAAAACGTTGTTATTTTTTAGTGCAATTTTTAATATTTTAAGTGCAATGTTTGGTATTTTTTAGTGCAATACTGCAATCAATTTTACTATTTTTTTAATACTACAACATCCGTGCCCTAGTTATAAGTATTATAGATTTGTTGAACAACTATATTTACATATAGTTTATAAGTTGTTCAACAAATCTATAATACTTATAACAAATTTAAACATTGCCTTAAACTATATGTAAATATGTTACATATGTTGTCTTTGTTTCATACAATAAACCAACTTTTAAAAATGTTCACATAGAAGTTGAAGACTGTAAATTTTTAGATGTAATAAACATTCGTGTACAAAGACACAAATAAAAAAATAAAAACTATATAAGTAAATGTCTGCAACTATATTATATGTACCTATAAAACAGCAGTTATTTTTTATCCAAAAAATTAAAGCTCCAGAGTTTAATAATATTGTCCGCATCATTAATGTTCATTAAAAGATTATATTATAATATATAGAAACACAATAAAATGCCATGACAATATAATTGTACTTTTATTGTGAATATAATAGGCACATTATACTATCACATTTATCATAGACAACATTTTATGATGTCCGAAAATTAACTGATAGATATTGATAGATATCGACGGAAATCCTGGTGACACGAACAATTTATTAAGACTAGATTCAAGTTCAAGCGTACAACTTAGTGAATGTGAACTCAATCAAGTCGGAATCTTTTTTAAGGGGCCTCGCAATGGCATTGATTTAAGGAGAATCATTTAGGCAATTTCTAATCTCGTCGTCGCCACCTGAGATCCATGTGTTAGTCGTAAATGATTATTAGTGTGTGTTGCGTCCATGCGGGTCAATTGAAGGAAAGCTCTCGCACGCACTCGCACACACATGTCAATATATAATATTGTGATCACGAAAAAATTTTTATTTTTCACTCGAACATACGATTCTAATTCCAACATTACGTCTCAACGATTACCTCGATTTTCATTCTGACAAAATATTCTTATTTTCCACAGCATGTACGAGGTGATCGATCGAGGTACATTTTTAAAATTGTATTTAGTTAGGTAATTAAATATTTAAGTTGGAAATTGTGTACATTTTTTGAATTTTTTACAATTTTTATTGCAATTTAAATTACAAAAATTAAAAATGTGACTCGATCGTTCCCTTGTATATATTACGGACAATCAGAATATTTTTTCAGAATGAAAATCGTTATAATTGTCGACACGTATCGTTGGAATTAGAAACAGTAGTTTTTGACAAAAAAAAAACACGTGGTAGCTGCACCGTAGCATATTTTAAGGAGTACTATTTAGGCAATTCATGTGACATATAAATTAATACTGTGTCTATGTGTGAGTAGTAAATGAACATTAGTGTGCTTAATCCGTTAATGCGTTGTTTGAGCGAATTCTGCTCATTCGGCGGGTGCATGAGCCGGTGTCTTTCGGTAGTCTTTTTTATCATTCATATACGAGTATTCATAACAAAATAATATTGTAAATAATAATAATATTATGTTGTTTGAGGTTTGTCTGTGTCTTTCACTGTTTTATACTTTTAACTGTTTATTCAAAAATGTATTACTAAATTTTAA